TCCTAAGATAATGATGTAAATATCTTACCATAAGCCAATTTTCTGACACTTGAAATTATGCAGAATATATAGATATGAAGAGATTTCAGAAAGGGTTTATTTGGAGTCTGTCCTTCTCCATGATATGTAAACCAGATAAATCAGATTTTGCTGATTAAATAATATGAAAACCTAAACAGTGCATCAGCATAAGTTGAGGCTAGCTTTCTTGAGAGTTAAAAATGAAATAAAGCCTCTGGAATGATCTGTTTTTAACTTAAGGTTTCCTATAGCACTAAAAGTGGGTGACTGATGTGATGCAGGCAGCATGTAATAAACATAAATGTACTTTTCCAATCATTTTCTCATTAAAGTTAGCTTCCTGTGTTATAGCGAAGTGTAAAGCTGCACATACACAGACATTTAAACAAAAAGCCTGTATCGTCAAAGGTAGTTAAATGCAGTGGTAGCTGGATGCTGGAGTGCTTCTGAGGATTGGACTCTTCACCATGTAATAATAGGATGTTCAAAAGCTGGCTGCAACTATCCTGTTTGTCTCTTATTCTGAAGTGCTAAATGAAAGGCAAGAAATGTACTTCTCGCTAATTTTCAGAAGTTTGAAGCAGTATCTTGAGCAAAGATGACGAAACATTTTGAATGCAAATATTGAATTTGGTTGCTTGGTTTTTATCATGGCAAACATGATTGTGTATGTACTTGAAACTGGTAACTGTTGTGTAAAGCTTTGTAAGTGAAGGACCAGTAATAGTATCTCAGGAGCTAAGAATAAGGAGAATCTTCTGCGTTTTGAATGTGAAAACAGAATTACAAGTTACATGGGGTTTTTTTTTCCCTCATATTTGAAACAGTTTTTCAGCCATTACATTTCTAAAACTTTTTTAGAGTTCACTCTTTTTCTTCTCTAGTATTTTTGAAGCCTTGTTGTTACACAGCCTTGGTATTGAAAAATTAGGTCAGTTATTATTTGAAATCTGAATTCTGTAACTAGCTTGATTGACAGGGTTTGTTTCAGGGTTGTGGGAGGCAATTTGTACTCACTGTGAAGTGAAAGATTAAGCTGCTACAGATTTTCTTCCATCATGGTACAAAAAACAGTATTGGTTTAATACTGGTTTAGTAGTTCGTTTTACAGCATTAACCTGTCAGTGTTATCCTATCTAATGGATAGGATAAACGTTCTGCTTTTGGCAGATACAAAAACCTCTTTCCTAACAGTAAGATTTTTACGCCATGAAACTGCATCCTTCTCTAGGAAAAGAAACTGATCTCATTAAGAGGATGTGAAATGAAGGTATCTTATATGAATTAGCAATGCGAAAATAGTATAAAATCTCTGCAACCTGGTAACTGGCGTGTTTCATTAAGTAACTGTCTTGTATATTGATGCTTGCTAGGATCTGATAGTTCATGTGAGGGATATAACTCATCCAGAAACCATCCTCCAGAAAGCAACCGTTCTGTCAGTTCTGAAGAATCTTAATCTTCCCAGCCATTTGTTGGACTCAATGGTAGAAGTTCATAACAAAGTGGATTTAATAGAAAGGTAAGCAGGAGATGCTAAGCGTACTTAAACTTTTTTCTTATGTTCTGGAAGCTTTTTAATTCTTAGTCTAGAAAAGAGCTCCCACACTTCTGAATACATTTAATAGTGTTTCTCAATCTTTTACATATGTAACTATGGTCTTAAAAATAATTAATTGTCTTTTAATTACAAAAGAAATCACTTTAGTCATACAAGAAGTGGCCTCTGTAGGAAGATGCCAGTATAAAGTAACGCGGTTAAATTGTCCGTGCTTGGAATATTTTCACAACCTAATCTTCGTGACCAAATGCACTAGCAATTGTTACCTTTCAGATATAAACCCACTGAAGAAAATGCTTTAGCTGTTTCTGCTCTACATGGACATGGCTTAGAAGAGCTGAAAGAAGAAATAGAGAAAAAAATTTTGACAACAACAGGGAAGAAGATTCTGACAGTTAACGTCAACTTAGAGGGACCTCAGCTAAGGTAAATAATTTTGAATTGTAAGAAGGACTTGGAAATATGAAACTCTTAGTCTTGCATGTTCTAAAATTTCCAAATCGTATCATACAGATTTTAATCTCTGTTAAGAATTACAGGAATAATTATCAAAGTTTTCTGACCTATTGAGAAAAATTATCCCCATGAGATACCCTGGAGTCTGCTTCTGAAAATGTCCTTCACAGAGTTCTCTGTGTTAGTACAATAAAACATACTTCCTGAAAGACCATGCCACTGGTCCTGGAGCCAGATTTCTGATAAAAACACAAATCTGAAAGATTTATGAAAACACTATACCCTATTTCCAAACAGCAAGTAGCAAATGAAAAGTTAAGTGAAGCACTTCATCTTTTGAAGTGTTAAATTACCCGGATTGGAACACGTTGACCTAAAACAAAGATCACATTTTATGCAGTATGTCATACCTTTAAGATGCTAATATGCTTTTACTTCTGCAGTTGGCTCTATAAAGAAGCAACAGTTCAGGAAGTAGAAGTCATGCCTGAAGATGGCACAGCCAGGGTGAAGGTGATAATCAGCAATTCTGCTTTTGGCAGATACAAAAACCTCTTTCCTAACAGTAAGATTTTTACGCCATGAAACTGCATCCTTTTCTAGGAAAAGAAACTGATCTCATTAAGAGGATGTGAAATGAAGTTAATGGCCTGTTAGCCTGGGTGTTGAAGAGCGTATTTCTTCCCCAGTTGATGTTTATGGTGCGTTTTAGGAATGGACACCTTCAGAAAACTGTTTGGAAACAAAAAGAGCTTTGAGCTTCATTCTGTCAGCAAGTGCAAGGACAGCACTACATTTTTAATGTTAAAACAGTTGTTAGCTATAAGCTGTGGACCTCAAACATATGGAAATCACTGGATGGCATCTGAATTAACCTTCAGAAAAGTACCAAGTTTTCTTACATCGTATAAATAAAGCTTTTTACCCCACTTTCAGAATAAAATAATATTTATCATAGTTAAGGTGTCTCAGATGGTCCTTGGAAAATGAAAGTTAATGAACAAAATGTTGTTGGCTGTATATAAATAATACAGATAGGTTTATGCATTCTGCTTTAATACATATTTAAGTAAAATAACTGCCCTGTCTTATTGCAGTGAAGCAGAAAAACATGGATTTATATATTTAAGCAATAAAGTTAGCTGTGAACATCTTTTACCCATATGGTTTTCTTGCCTACAGTAATTTATCCACAATACCTATACTGTGTCAGCTCTTAAAGGGAAAACATTTAAGGTACAGCAAACCATGGATTTTGTGTGAAATTATTTCACAAAGGAAGAAAAAAACAAAACCTGATCCATTACCTGAATTACTACTGGGAACCAATAAACCAATCAGTATCACAGAAAGTAGAAGCAAAACTGTTTCAGACCATATTACACAGAGAGATCAAGTTTTATTAGATAGAGTAGCAAGCCACTTGAGGGTACAAAAGATAGGCAGAAAAACATTCTGAGTATGTATAACATAACACTTCATGCAGGTAGTGACTAAAAAAAAAATCAGAACTGAATGAGTGCTCAGTATGAAGTACATAGAGGTAAGAACAAAGATAAAAAGCACTGTAAAAAAGCATTTAGAAAGTCGTCTTTATAAATGGAATGTTTTTCTTCTACTCCTACGTATTCTGCAATTGTAAGAGATTGCATGAGGAGGTAGCATCTTGGCCTTTCATGCTGAGAAGTCTAGGGTGAGTTTGATCTGATGTCACGTAGCAGTTGATTTCAAACTTCTGCAAATACCTACTGCAAACGTGAACATCTTGCCAAACGTTTGAACTCAGCTTTTGCATATAAAGTGCACCTGAAAAGTGAGGTATATTGATGAAGCTGCATAGTGAACTTCATACAATGCCTGTTTTTGTTTTAGTCCTGATCCTTGCCATTTCTCTTACCTTCGTGATCATCTGTTATTGCACAGTTCATTTAAAAAAAATAGAAAAATAGGATTAATATGCAATGGCAAACAGCGTAAACCCCTTAGTTTTTACATAAGCAAAAAATACTTGAGAGAAAAAATAACTATAGAGCTACTAAAATAGGTAAATAAAAGACCAGTTGTGAAACCCCAAATGAGCGTGACAGAAGCCAAGAATCTGTATTTTTAGAGCAGTCTGAGTTTAGATCAGGAATTTGTTTCCTATGTGTTTATTTTCAATGATGTAAGCCATATTTTGGCAACACCTAATAAAACATATTTCATTACCACAGACAAAACTGTCTAGGGGCCTAGTTTTGGTATCTTTATCACTGCAGAATTGGCATGAGTGATAAAAAGAGTAAGTGTTCAAATACACATACCTCTTAGAAACCATAAAGAATTTTGTGACTACTCTGTTGGTAAAGTGGCTCACAACTGATCCTCAGCACACAGCAACAGTACAGCCACTTCTAAATCTCTAATGTTCATGATGTATTGGTGTGCATATATAAAAATCATGTCAAATAGGATTGTCAGTACAGTATCTTTGATATATCAAAATATTTTTAAACTGTTCCTTTTGTATATTTAACATAAACTTAAAACATACAAGTCAGTTTCACACTGATATAAAATACTGAGAATTGGGCTTGCAAGTAGTGCAGAATATCTTTACAAGTATAAGAAAGTTAAAATCTTATCACAAAATAATTCATGCAGCTACTGACATATTTCTCCTTGCTAATATGTAAAATGAAATAGGATAAAGTTCTTGGGACTTTCAATATTGCCAATTGCTGCAGAATCTAAGCACCTCCAAGTAAATTATACCTATACCATCATTCTCTAGAGACTTCAGCCAGGTCAGCCTGCTCTCTTTTTTGTGAAAAGGCCTTGAAACCCTGATGATGTTGAGAGCACTTTTCTTACTAAGTCTTTAAAACATCCCTGGTTTGAGTTAACTGGACCTTTATGGGATCCAGGATGTTTAAACCAGGACACATTGAATGCAGACAAAGCCTTTTCAGCTTTTCACAGATTAAGAAGCTGAGAATGAAATGCTGTTTGTTCCAGCCCCTTTACTTTGACAGTATAACGGAGGATTAATTTTTGTGTTAAGGTCTATCACATCTTTGACAAAGTCATCGTTTCCTATGAAGTCTCCAGCAACGATGTTAATACATTCTTTTTTTGGTCCTGGATACTGCTGCTTTATCCAGATTTTCAAGCATGGAAGACTCTGGAGTGTCATTTTCTTCAACGATCCAAATGGGTGTAAGAGAATATACCTTAAATTTTCAGTAAGGTTAATCCCTGCTACAAAGAATTTTTCTGAAATGAAAATCAGAAGGTGACACATTAAATATTCCTTTGAGGAGAACAGAAACTGCTCAGCATTGCATTAACTCCAGATCTCGTTCCTCTGGGAATCATTCAAACGCTAACTTTACAATCTTTCTCTATTGTTTCATATCCCTAGAACTGTTTCAGTAGACTGTCTCCCCTGGTTGCAACTGCATGCTGTAGTAAAGAGTTGCTGAACCAAGCTCGGTTATTGAACCATTCCAGTTTAGCTAAATTTATCTAAATTATCCATTACAGACTACAGGTCCTCCACTAACTAGTCCTCCTTTGTAAGTTACGTTTGTTTCTGTAAGGGTTGCTTCCAAATGCTTAGCCTTCCCCTGTGACGGACGGGAACACAGGGTGCACCTACACGGGCGTTTTCCTTTGGCTGGGGAGTGTGCTTTTGAAGCGGTCCTCCCCTTCGTCACCCCATGCGTGCACATCACAGAGCCGCACCAGAGGTTACGAACTGAATTTCTTTCAGCTTGGACGACACCAGCACGCTTGAGCGCCGCTATTTCCTGATGTAGCTACAGCCTTCACACACCATTCTTGCAGGGGTTTCTTTTTACAACAAGGATAGCATAATGCATTTCCCCCATCGTCAGCGCTGCCTGAAGCAGCAAGCACTGGATTGAGGAAGCAGTCTCCTGCCTGTGAGAAGGGCACGACAGCACCAGCTAGCTCTTCTGTGCCAAGGGCTTCTTTTCCATGGGATCACGCAAGGGAAGCGGCTGCTGCAATTTATATAGTCTATGCATGTACGTACACCGATGCATGTATTTGCAGCACCAAAGATGAATGTTGCACTCACCCATGGGTGGGCAAGCACTCAGCAACATGGGCACGTCTTGTGCACGCAGCATGCACAAAGTGGTTATTACCCCTTAATGCTATGAACACCCAACTTCCTATTTGTTTTGCATTGCTGTACGTGCCCCTTGTTTCCTCCGAGCGACTCCCTGTGCCTACCTGGACGGCCTATCCGCTTCATGCGCTCTAAATACTGGATAAGAGTGCGAGTGGCAGTTTTGTTTCCCCACCAGTATGGGATCGCGGGCCACAGCTCACAGTGCTCCTCCACTTCCACGTCCTCTTCGTACGAGACTATAAGCTGATGGCCACGCTGCCACATGGTCCGCAGCGTCGGCACCACCTAAGAGAAAGTGTGCCCAGGCTGAAGTCAACAACACAGCAGTGTTCCCAAAGTTCAAATACTGACATGTGACATATTGCCTTGGTAGAGAGGCACAGATTCAGTTCAAATAAAGCTTTTAAGCATACAGCCCAGTAGGTCGTTGGCTGGGTTACAAGCTGCAGGGGCAATAGGAGCCCGAGAACTTCAGCAGATTCCACCTTTCCTCAAACAATTTAACTATGGTAAAGTACATAAGTCAAGGTCTTACACCTGTGTAACAAGAAACCATCCCCACGTCAGCCCTCGTGCACGTACCGCTGTTGAAAATTTGTTGGGAGAGGAAGACACAGGCCATTTGGTGAAAGGAGGTAGGAAGGGGGCAAAGCTGTAGGAATACGGACACAGAGAAGCAGGAATAATTTTGGCAAATGCTCCACATCATTGATCCAAATTTGTCACTGTAGCCATCAAAGAAAATTGAACTGCTTAAGACCTGGTAAGACTAAATGTAAGTCTTCAAGAGATATGTCAATTCTGATTTCTCTAAGTGGAAAGTTTCAGAAATTGGGACACTCCAGACATTTTGAATTGAGAGAGGGGAAGACTGGAGTTGGCAACCTTCTCAGACAGACAGATGGGCTGAAACAGGTCTGTCAAATTTAAGTGTTTAAACATGAAATGACATTTTCCAATCCTCAAAAGTTACCATTGGACAGAATTGAGGCCCTCTGACTAGTTTCATTTGCAAAACCAACATAATTATCAGGTTGTGCTGGTTTTGGCTGGGATAGAGTTAATTTTCTTCACAGTAGCTCGTATGGGGCTGTTTTGGATTTGTGCTGAAAACAGTGTTGATAACACAGGGATGTTTTAGCTATTGCTGAGCAGTGCTTGCACAGAGTCAAGGCCTTTTCTACCTCTCACACCAGTGAGCAGGCTGGGGGTTGGGAGGGGGACACAGCCGGGACAGCTGACCCCAACTGACCAAAGGGATATCCCACACCATATGACGTCATGCTCAGCATATAAAGCTGGGGGAAGAAGAAGGAAGGGGGGATGTTCGGAGTGATGGCGTTTTGTCTTCCCCAGTAACGTTACATGTGATGGAGCCCTGCTTTCCTGGAGATGGCTGAACACCTGCCTGCCCATGGGAAGCAGTGAATGAATTCCTTGTTTTGCTTTGCTTGCATGTGCGGCTTTTGCTTTACCTATT